TTTTCAGATTTTTCTCCTCAATAAATTTTTACAATTTTAATCAAGCTTCGAACACATGTTTTCAACTCAAAATTCTACATCACCTTCAAGTTTCTAAATACCCAGTTCCAACAGTATATGTGAGGAGTGAAGACTTAGACTTATTCTTTGATGAAACTCTACATTAAAATCAGAATTTCATTTAACCACTCAACAATAGTCAGCCAATGGCTAAAACCTCTGGTTCCAAGTTGTACGATTAATAATAGTAAACTTTATTTATAGTTGGATAAGACGTTAATATACAAATAGAATAATATAATATTGTCTCAAAACATCTTGTTCCTGCATGGTTCCTACTTCTTTGTTCTCAGTTTCTCCTAGTCCTCGCAATGTAGCGTCATTAAACTCGAAGATTCCAAGTCGTCGAAATGTGGGGCATCATTTAACAAGTTAGATTAACAATAAACATTTTAATGTTCATGTAGCAGAACCTTTAAAGAAAGATGCAAAAGTGTTCCCAGAATTAAGGAAGCAAAAAATGTATATGTTAGACGAGAGAAATGCTCAAAATATTCTTTTAATTTTTCTCTGTGTCAATCTTTCACTCTCTTCTTGTAAGGCACACACGAGACCCAAAAATAAAATAAACAAATTAGCCATTTCTTAGACATGATGTTAACAAAATCATTTCTTTAACAATCAGTACAAATATTATTTATAATTGAATTAGTCTTTGCCTTTTATATTTTAGCCTGGTATGATTAGTTTACATTATTTAAATTGTGTTATATTTGAGTTTCATGGTTTTATTATATTTTAGGTATGATTCTTTTAAGTTATTCAAGTTACGTAAGTGTTATTTTCATGCAGAAAGTGACTGATATATTGAGTACCACATGACTAGTATTCTTGTATGGGTGAGTTTAATTTATCTTCTTGTTCTTTGAATATTCATAGGTAAGTAATTCCCTTTTGTTTCGTTCACTGTCAGATTCTGCTTCAGCAAGCTTGATGTATTCCAACAACGACTTATGGATACTAATCAACTATGCATTCTTTTGTTGAAATCAACTATAATTACTGGTGCAGTGAAAGACAAAATGGAATTGGTATGGGAATCTGAAGGAGCTACGAAACGAATTTGTCTTGTGTCAACACTTTTCCTTCAAATTTTTGTTTATATTTTGAAGGATACCAGATAACTATGATCAAAATGGCTTTTAAAACGACATCCCAGAAACTGAAGCAGGCCAAAACCCATCTTGGTTTGCTTGTCTAACTAGATCGGCCCTATGTTTAATTATTTCTTTTACAAAAGCAAGGTTTCCGGCCTTAGTAGCAACGTGTAACGAGTTCTTGTTGGAATGTGTGTTAGAATTTGAGGTGGGTCTGACTCCTCATCCAATAAGGCCTTGTTGAATAGGAGGATTACCCCTTCTTATAACCCAATAGGCTTGAGCGTGCCTAGTCGATGTGAGACTCCAACACTCCCCCTCACGGTCAAGCCCATATGTTAGGTCATGCCTGTTATAGGAGGTAGTTGCTAGCTCTAACTCCTCACTTGCTGGTCAAGCGCTCAGCTCAACTGAACATGGGCTCTGATACCATGTTAGAATTTGAGGTGGGTCTGAATTCTCACCTAATAAGGCCTTTGTTGAATGGGAGGATTATCCCCTCTTATAACCTAAAAGGCTTGAGCATGCCTAATCGATGTGGGACTCCAACAATGTGAATACTTTTTAGTAGTTGATGAAGATGATGGCGCGATGAACAAATAAACCACAAAACGTGAAAGCAACGTGCGTCCTCAATTCAAGAATTCTAGTTTTAGGAAAATTTGTGTTTCAGGCGTTTGACTTTAAGAGTATTTGTTTTCCTTTTATTGTAAGTTGAATTAGGGCAGTAGAATTAGTTTACGACTTTACTTTGAGTTAAAGTAGGAAATAAAGTTTAAATATGAGAGTTCTATATGGAATGGAAATATGAATCCTATTAGAATTTGGATGTCCCATTTACTAAAAATCAATTCATGATTATGAGAGAATAAGGAAAAGAAATGATTATGAGAGGAAAAAATGTGAGAACACAAGGGTTTTGATGTAAATGTTATTAAACACCATAAGATAGAGTGTCTTAGAATTTAGGATTGTTCTCGACTTATGTGCTAGCTAGGTTGATGGTGGTGTGCACTCTTGTATATTGTGTTTATGAAATTATAGTGAATTTTTCTCATTAGTGAATATAAGCAAGTTATGCCAAACCACGTAAATATGGTATTTACATTGCTGTTCTTTATTTTATTTTTTACTCCTTCAATTTTTAATAGATCTTGTGAGGAAATATGAGAGCACAATCAGCTAGAACTAATGGGCTTTCAACAAGTAATTGGTGCAACGCATTGACATTGCCTATTTGAGCTGCCTCGAACAATCTGTCGTCCATTCTAGTCTAGAATTATTCACACGACACCAGTGTTCTGAAAACCAGACTGGATCGGACGGTCGGATCGGTTTGACCAGGAACCGACGTCATCTTCGATCTAGTTTCCCCTGAAAACAGATATTCTTAATAAAACCGGATGGAGTCGCGGTTGGACCGTCGAAATAGTGTCGAATCTCAGTCCAATCGCGAGTAAATCCCGCCGGATTCCAGCATCGTTCGAGGGAGATAACACCACTATATGACTTGACAACATCTCTACGAAAAAAACCCATCCATTTTCAGTGGTCGCCATCTAGCCTTTCGTCGCTCGCCGTCCACCTATCATTCACGCAACTGTCGGACTTCCTTCTTAATTCCGGCAAATTCCGACACTATTAAAACTCCTTGACACCACCATAAGATTCACCGACACCTCTACATCAAAAGCCCCATCATTCCAAACTTCGATTGGTCATCGATCGCCATCCACCTGTTGTTCAGGCAACTGTCAAACTTCCTTCTTGATTTTGGAAAAGTCTAGCACCGGTAGAACTACCTGACACACCATAAGATTTGTCAGAATCTATATATCAAAAGCCCCATGATTCCAAACTTCGATTCGCTATCGATCGTCACTGCTGTCACCACTTACCAGTCTCTTCACGGTGTTTTGGATAGATTTCAAACCTTAAGGGAGTCATGCATAATTATTTAGGGGTGTTTTTGATGAATTTCAAACATTTATGGACTAAAAATAACTTTACAGGTCAAATCGAAAATCGGCCTCTTGAACGGGTCAAGGTCCAGTCCGATTTTCCGAACATTGCACGACACGGTAAGTAAAAATTGTTTTCTTGGCTTTCTTGGTTGCATTCTATTTTGAATAGGTTGAAAGGACAGAATTTATAGAGGTTTCTTCCTTGCTCATTTTGTTGACGAAGACCGAAATATTAACAACACGCTTTTTTTTCTACTTTAATGAGATCAGCTTTCTGCATAATTATTTTCGTACAAAACCAAGCTGTCCGACTTTAGCAGCAATGTGTAATGGGAGCAGATATCATTTCACAATGAGCCAGAGTTAATGGATTTTCGGTAAGCAATTGGTGCAACGCAGTGACGGTGCCTGCCTCAAACAATCTGCCATCTGTTCCACTCTAGAATCACGCAGAAAGTAACAAGATTCCTTTGTGACGTCATTGTCATGGTTGCCTTCTATTTCAGTTTGAGCTCGCAGATTGCAAGTCGTCGCCGTGTGGGGCATTATTAAACTGGAATTCCAGGTCGTCGCCGTGTGGGGCTCATTGAACTGGAATTCCAGGTCTATTAGAGTAGTCTACTGCTGTTAGTCAGCTTAGTTAGTTTACTGTTAATTGCTAGTATAGTTATAAGTTAGTTGAGTGTTGGTTGCATCCAGCTGTGTAACTATAGTTAATAATTAACAGCAGTAAACTAACTAAAAGCTGACTAGCAGCAGTAGACTACTCTAATAAGATCGTGGCAGCGGAGCATCATTAAACTCGAAGAGCCCAAGTCGTCGAAATGTGGGGCATCATTTGACGAATTAGATTTACAGTAAACATTTTAATGTTCATGTAGCAGAACCTTTTACAAAGATGCAGAAGTGTTCAAAGAAATAAGGAAGCAAAAAATCTTTTTTTTTTTTCTTAAATTAAAAATAACTTTATTTATCTTCTTTCTTTATCAATACAATTTTCTCATATCAATAACAATAATAATTTTTCTAATATCAAATTTTATATATCTATATATATATTTTTTTCGAATAATCTTACATATACAGATTAATCTATATAAACAGATGTGTCAACATCATCTGCTATATCTTAAATGGTAAGTTTCCATTAATCATCATGTTATATGAGTTAATTTGTAAAACGGTTGGTCTATATACTATTACTCATTTCTTTTATCTTTTGTATACATATCCTTATTTTATATTGAAAGTTTATCACTTTACCAAGTTGATTAAATTTATATGGAATGGGTTAAACATAAACATTTTATACTTATGGGTTTGCTCATTCATCAGTCTTGAGCTTCTCTCAAAGTTTAACATTGAAGACGCACTTTAGCTCTAAAAACTTAAAACTCTTTGAAGCATTCAACAAGGAATAAAGTTTTCACCATAAAACGATTGTGCATACACAAAGTGATGTTACGACATTACAAAAATCATTGTCACCACACTGTATTCATAGTTTGACAAAAAGTACTTACAAATATAATCACGTATACGTTTGAGAAGGGAAAAGAGTAAGTGACATATCTCTAGAATAATTAGAATTTTCGTGAGTGTGGACCAAGTCTCAACTTGTAGTTTGGCTTTAATAAGATAAAATGGTAGCAAAAAACCACGAAGGAACCAGATGTTTTTGAGACAATGTTATATTTTTGTATCTATACATGGGTGCTGATCGTATTGTTATATGCTATCAGTCAATTACTATACAAATTGGAGCAGACCCGTAGCTTCAGAACGCATTATATCTACTCTTAACCCGTTCAATAATGCCCTTCACTCCTGGTAAAACCAAAATAGAAGGTAGATCTGTCTCTTTCTTTCAAGATTGGAAATGGATGAAAGATTGTTTGAGGCAGCTCGAACTGGCGACGTTAGTTTATTGCACCAATTACTTCTTGAAAATCCTTTGATTCTTGCTGATTGTCAGCTCTTGTCTCCCCACGAGAACCCGTTACACATTGCTACCAAGGCTGGACAGTTGGCTTTTGTGCAACAAATACTTGAACAGAGACCAGATTTCGTAAGACAATTAAACCAAGATGGGTTTCGGCCACTGGACATTGCTTCCGCAATTGGGTACGTAGAAATAGTGAAAGAGATCACAACTCGTCATCGTGATGTTTGCCGTCTCAAGGGAAGAGAAGGAAGAACATGTCTTCATTATGCTGCTATAAATGAAAGGGTTGAGATTATTGATGAATTACTTACCACTTGTGGTGAGTGTGCTAAAGATTTGACATCTCTCGGTGAAACTGCTCTTCATCTAGCTTTGAAGTACTATAAGCTTGAAGCCTTTAAACACTTGGTCAAATGGCTGGAACGGCTTGGTTTGGAAGAACTTGTGAATTCGGTCAATAAAGATGGGAACACAATCTTGCACCTCGCCGTATCTAGAAAACAACTTGAGGCAAGTCCAGCTCCACCTTAATTGAATTCACTACCAAGCTCTTTTATTTAAGTATTTATTTTATTGTTTCTGACTGTTGTATTCTTGATCTTCATTTCTATTGATTCGGAAAACCTTCCCAACTTCTCATAAAGGGTAAAAAGCATTCATATTTCCTATACAAAGAGACTAATATGCTTGATTTAAATTAATGATAATGTAGAATGAAAAATGAAATTGAGTTATTTGGTTGTGACTACTTTATAAAAGATAAATGCAAGAATGCATCGTGGTGTGGCCTCCAGTCACCTTGTTTACTTTGGATCTGTTCCCAAAACAAAATATCTATAGCAGTACTTCTGTAGAAAAGTTTTCTTTCAGACACAACTGGAAGCCTCTTTTATTTTTCACAAGTCAATAACTGCATCACCGCTAGGAGAGTCAGAGCTAAAGCTTTTGATCGGCATTCAATGATGATTGAGACAGATAAGTTTTGTTTTCATGTTCTGTTTTGTAATCCCTCTGTGCAAGCGTCGGTATCTTAATCTTTTTTTCTCTGGCCTGTTAATATTGGGTCTGTCTTTTTCCAAGGGAAATTATGATTTTGTTTTGTTTGACCGATTACAAGATATTTCCATCATGTAGAGTGTAGAGCTTCTGCTTAGCAGCAGCAATATCAACAGCATACTGGAACCGAACATCAGGAACTCGAGGGGTTTCACAGCAATGGATTTGTTAGATAATACACGCATAGACAATCCAAATGATGTTCGACTAAAGGAAATCCTTCAATTCGCGGGAGCCCTCGGTACAGAAACTCCTCATAACACTCTGATAAACAATCCAAAGCCTTCTACAGGAGTTTCAAAAGACTGGATTAAGTATTTTCAATTTCAAATGGAAAGGGACTCACCAAGTGATACTCGCAATGCACTATTAGTCGTAGCCGCATTGATTGCAACTGTGACATTCCAAGCAGGGATGAACCCACCAACTAGCTTTATTCTTCATAAACCGGTAGCCAATTCCGCTGACATTGCAAACACTGCTCCTCCTGTGTTTGTTCCAGTACTTGCCTCCGGTTTGGCTGTTATTTCTGGGAGTTCAGGCTCTCCAGTTACATCGAATTTGTTTTTATTTTGGAATACATTAGGCCTTGCTGCATCACTCATCATTATAATCTATCTGACTAGCAGGTTTCCTTTCCAGAAAGAGCTTCAAATTGCTATTTTCTCAATGATGTTTGCTTATGGATGTGCAGTGCATCATATTAAACCTGCGGGCGCCATTAGGTATATCGTACTGGGAATTGCCCTTCTTCTACCATTTTTATTTCGAGGGCTTCCACAATGGGTCAAAAAATTTTGGAAGTGGCTGAAAGACAATTAAGCTCACAAAGCTCCCCCTTTAAGCATTTGAATCTGGAGATTTACATGCTTTTATATAAAAATGTATAGTGATTATATTGATATTGGAACCTTTTCGTATTCTATTGCATGTTAAAATTGATATGTATGTAATTTCAGGCATATGTTATATGTATGTTAGAGCTGTGCTAGCCTTCTGAGTCAATTAGACACCATCACTAAACTATAAAATGTACAATTCTTGCGTATGCATAGGAATAGAATGAAAGACTACATCTAAATTAATAACAATAAGATTAAAACTTGTAATGAAGAAATTGACTCTTAAAGGCTAAACCATGTCGAAACAGACCCTTGACTCTAATAGATATTCTGCCAGATCTTCCTCTTCCACTGCCACTTCAATAAATGTATTGTTTTGGGAGGGACAAGAATAGAGTTGTGAGATGTTACTCTCCTTTTTCAATTGTTTAGGGACAGGATTCGAGTGTTGTTTCCACAAAATCGGAATTTCGCCTTTTGAGATAAAGAAATTCAAACAACAAAAGTACAAGAGAAGCCATTAAAGTTCAAAGTAGTCGATGTACTAATGGATTATAAAAGGACTGACAAGATTGAGAATACAAAATAAACGAATTTATAGGTTTAGAATCCATATCCTAACTCAATTCCACTTAAGTCTCAAATCTCAATTCTTTGGGGGAGTACCAAAGCCTGCGTCAATGGGAGTTAACTGATTCCATAAGGATTAGGGTACGAAGAATGCAAATCCTAATAAAAATATAATTCTAATTCTAATAAATTTGGATAATAAAGTTATATTTTAAAAGTTCATGGGTGAAAAGGGTTATTAAACAATTATTTGGGTGGGAAAATGTCATTTACTCTAAATATTAAGTAAAGTTGTTTTCACGGTATTCTATGGTTTTTAATTTAAAATATTACATAAAACACATTTTCAAAAATTAAAAATATTAAAATACAACTCAAAAATTTGAATCTTATTTTTTGTTTTTTTGAATAAAAAATAAAACATTGCTCTAAATAACTTGAATAACTTAGAAGAATCCAAATCCTAATAAAAATATGATTTTGCTTCTAATAAAACAATGAAAATTAAATACCCTAATAGAATAAGAGTTAGTGACATTTTCCCACCAAAAGTTTGCCTTAATTATTTCCCACCCATAAACTTTGAAAAAAATATTTTCCCAACCGTTGTTAAATTCATATGATAGTTTTAGCCGTAAAAAGGTCTTTTTGTCAGTTCGCACAATATATATTATAGGGTTAATGTTACCTGCACTCCTAAATTACAAAAACATAACAATTACCTTCACTAACTTGAAAATTAGTCATTTAAACCCCTTATCTTTAATTTCTATAATTACAAAACAATATTTCATTAAAATTGTATATATTTTATGAACTTATATAAAAATATAATTTCCAAAAAAAAAAAATCTGCAAAATTGTAAAAAGGAAGAAAAATAAGAAAAAGACTGAAAAATAAAGTTGGCCAGATTCTCCCCCAACTAGGTGCGATTCTTTACAGCATTTCAAGCGTAACCCTAGTTGTGTATTTATGTCGATAACTTATTATTCAAAATATTGTTATTTGATTACTAAAACCACATTTTAAACTTTATCTATTAATTCTTTTAAAAACCAAATGTATATTTATAACTACAAATTGTCGAAAAAAAAAGTAGGCAAGTACTCCCCATATTACAAACATCGCATTTTCAGATTTCTCCTCTATAAATTTTTACAATTTTAATCAAGCTTCAAACACATGTTTTCAACTCAAAATTCTACATCACCGTCAAGTTTCTAAATCCCCAGTGCCAATAGTATATGTGAGGAGTGAAGACATAGACTTATTTTTTGATGAAACTCTATATTAAAATCAGAATTGCATTTAACTACACAACAATAGTCAGCCAATGACTAAAACCTCAGCTTCCAAGTTGTACGATTAATAATAGTAAACTTAATTTTATAGTTGGATATACAAATAGAATATAATATTGTCTCAAAACATCTTGTTCCTGCGTGGTTCCTACTTCCAATGGCTATCCACATTCATAAAATTTGATGAAAATGATAATAGTCAACCAATTCCTTGTTGCCACCGGTTTGGCTGTTGTTTGTGGGAGTTCAGGCTTTCCAGTTGCATTGAATTTGTTTTTATTTTGGAATACATTATGCCTTGCTGCCTCACTCAGCATTATAATTTATTTGACAAGCAGATTCCCTTTCATGAGAGAGCTTCAAATGGCTATTTTCACAATGTCGATGTTTGCTTATGGATGTGCAGTACATTATATTAAACCTGCGGGTGCCATTAATTATGCCGTACTTAGAATTGCCCTTCTTCTACCAGTTCTATCTCGATGGCTTCCAACATCGGTCGGAAAAATTGTGGAACTGGCTGAAAATTGAAATACATTATATTAAAATAATGGTGTCTTGTCACTAGGCAATTTGTGCATATTCCCTTTTTAAAAAAACTTTAGAATAAGAGGCGTGTGCATATTTTCTCTTCCTTGCTGGCTTGCTGGCTTGCTGGCTTATCGTCAACGATTTTCTGGGTACGTTGAAAGTTCAATACTGTAGTCCATTGTTGACTTATTTTTCTTTCTTAGTCTAGACATAGACATCATTAAACTCATCAAGAGAAATAATATGCTTTTATACAACTTCTTCTTATTATATTATAGAATTCATTATTTCATTCAACAAGTTGGAATTTGTTAGGCTCCGACATCCATTAAATATGAGATCAGTATTCAGTAGGTAGTTTATTAACCCTTGAGCTCTCTTCCTTACTTGAAATAGTGGACTCTGTCAGAATTCAAGTTTCTATTTGAACAACTTGGAGGGCAGTTAAGTTTTGGCATCTTTTCTTGAACTTTCATTGCTCAAGAAACTGTATATTAATGTCACTTGTCTATTTACCAATTCAACAATCGTCAACGGCTCAAACCTCTAAGCCTCTAACTCCAAGTTCCACCGCTGACAATAAACAATATAAACTTGTTTTATAGTTAAAAATCAAAGATATGATATTAATATATAACCAATAATGTCGTATATATAAAATACTGAAAGCATCAAGCTCAGCAGTTTATGGTTCGCCCTCTACCATTTTCGTTATATTTTGTTATATACGCGGACTCCGTTCCCCTTTCTCTTCCATGCCAACTAGACACTACTAAATGTGGTGCACAAGTTGGGAATTTTTCTGTTCGCCCCTCACTATTCAGGATCCTGAAACTACCAGTTAGATACGAACTCTAATGGTCACCCCTATTAGTATTTAAGGAGGGATTCGAACTGAAGACTTCTTGAATAATACACTAAAGAGTCTTTTATCAAATTACTTGACTACACAAAAGTCGGTTTTTTTACCAATTAACTCATACAACATGATATGTTATAACATGATGATTAATGAAGACTTAAAAATTTAAAATATTAGTTTAAATGAATTCCTCCGACCATATTTTAATACACTAGTTTATGTAAATTAATTGAAATAAGATATTTATACATATAAATATTATTCTTTTATTAAGAATTATTGGCTCTTATCTTTCATACAAGTCTTAATAAAAGAGTATTAGAATGAAAAAAAATTAGAGAAAAAAAGCGTGTTGTTAATATTTCGGTCTTCGTCAACAAAATGAGTAAGCAAGAAACCTCTATAAATTCTGTGCTTTCAACCCATTCAAAATACAATGCAACCAAGAAAACAATCTTTACTTACCTACTGTATCCTGTGAATAATTCTAGACTAGAATGGACGTACGGTAGATTGTTTGAGGCAGCTCGAACAGGCAGTGTCAATGCGTTACACCAACTGCTTGCTGAAAACCCATTGGTTCTAGCTGATTGTGCTCTCATATCTCCTCATGAGAACCCGTTACACGTTGCTGCTAAGGCCGGACAGCTTGCTTTTGTAAAAGAAATAATTAAACAAAGGGCTGATCTAGTTACTCAAGCAAACCAAGATGGGTTTCGGCCACTGGACATTGCTTCAGTTCTTGGGCATGTCGAAATAGTGGAAGAAATCATAACGACTTGCCATCCTGATGTTTGCCGTTTCAAGGGGACGCATGGAAGAACATGTATTCATCATGCTGCTATAAATGGAAGGGTTGAGATTATTGATAAATTGCTTACCTCTTGTGGTGACTCTGTTAGAGATCTGACATCTCTCGGCGAAACTGCTCTTCATCTGGCTTTGAAAAACTATAAACTTAAAGTTTTTACAAACTTGGTCAAATGGCTGGAAAAGCTTGGCTTGGAAAAAGAGCTCGTGAATTTTAGTGATAGAGATGGAAACACAGTTTTGCACCTGGCAGTCTGTAGGAAACAACTTGAGGCAAGTTGAACTCCACCTAATTAATTCAAATCCCAGCACTTCCACATTTTTTATTTTTTACTTTTTGGGCTCTTCTTTTGATATTTTAAAGGTCCTGTTGTTATATTCATGATCACCTTATCTTGATTTCATTTATGTTTTTGGTCTGTCTTTTTTCATGGGTTAAATATGTCTTTATTTAGTTTGATCACTTAAGGCCGGGAAAGTCTTGAATATAATCCTCACATAAACTTACAAGATATTCTGATCACGTAGATTGTTGAGCTTCTGCTTGGCAGCGGCAATATCAGCAACATTCTGGAACTGAACGCCAAGAACTCGAGGGGTTTCACTGCAATGGATTTGTTAGATATAGTGATAGAGAATTCCAATGAGGTTCGACTAAAGGAAATCCTCCAACGTGCGGGTGCCCTTGGTGTACAAACTCCTGATCATACTCTCATTAACACTCAAGATTCATCCGGAGCCTGTTCCTGTAGTTTATAAAGATTGGATTAATTATTTTAAATTTAAAATTGGAAGGGATCAACCAAGTGATGCTCGCGATGCACTGTTACTTGTGGCTGCACTTATTGCCACTGTTACTTACCAAGCTGCGATGGACCCTCCAAGTGGCATTTTTCTCGATAAAACCCCAAACACTTCCACTGAGAAATTTGTATTTTTCGCAAGGTTTTTTTCATTTTGGAATACATTGGGCTTTTCTACATCAATGGTCATGATAGATTATCTGACAGGTGGATTCCCAGCAGAGAGCTTCAAGTTTGTATTTTCTCAATGGGGGTAACTTATGGCATGGTAATTACTTCTATTACACCTAAAGATGCCATACAGTACATCACACTGTTCATTGCCCTTCTTCTACCTTATGTGCTACAGAAGCTACCAAGAGGGATTAGGAAACGCTGGCAACGCCCACCCTCTTAAGCATTTGAAGGTGGAGGTTTACAATTACAAACCTTGTTTGGGGAAAGATGGAATTGCATGGTTTTATAAAATAAAGTGGTCTTTGCTAGATTAGGTAGCAAATTAATAATTAGAAAAGGCGAATGCCCCGTGTGTCTTAGGGCATCTCCAACTCACGTCAAAATGATGCAAAAACTACAAATTGGCGTGGATTGGTACTCCAACCCACGCCAACACTGCACCATTTTGGTGCAGTGCACGTATTGCGCCAAATAGCACTGTAGCACAAATAAAAAACATATATTTTTTTTTTATTTTTGGTTTTTTTTTTTTAATTTTGTTAAGTAATTATTTGTATATAAATTTACACACAAAAATCACACTAAATTTGAGTATTTGTATTTAATTTAATTTGATTATTATTTATATAATGATATAATTTAAAAAATGATGAAAAATTAAAAATAGAACTTTATTCAATGCAAATATAAACTACAATACTCAAATAAAAATTAACACTAATTTAAAAACACTAAAATTAAAAGAAAATACAACATAAACTAAAATAACAATTTAGTATTCCGGTAGATTAGTTCCGGATCCAGTAAAATCATCAAAATATTGAAAAAAACTTGAGTTATTTTGAGATCATTGACCTTGTTGTTGAGCTCTTTTTTGCATAATTCTTAAATATAATGTTTATTTGATTAAATAAATGCTTAATTTTATTAAATTAGTATAATTTTTAAAATAATTATTATTTAATAAAAATATCATTCCCAATATTTAATTAATATATACAAAAATAATGAGTGAAATAGATTAATTGTTGATTATTACAATAAAAGAAAAAAAAGAATATTCTTTTTGGTGCAATATTTGGTGTTATGGGTTGGAGATGGAATAGTGTTTTGCACCAATTTGGTGCAATTTTACATCAAATTGGTGCAATGGGTTGGAGATGGTCTTATATGTATGAGCTGTTTGGAGTGCAGGAGGGCAGCCACCTGTGATTTATAATCCATCTCATATGACAGGTCAAGTATTTATCTTTGCAAAGATGTCGACCTTCATTGGTTTTGAATACTTTCGTTTCCTATATATCATGTGTAAAAATCACATAGTTAACCATGTTATTAGATACATCTGTGGAATTGAATATAAATTTTGATTGAGTTAAAAAAAATTATTCTCGCTATTGATGTGAGAAAATTGTATCAATAAAGTTATTTTTTAATTTAAGAATTTAGAGAGAACCAAAAAAAAAAAAAAAGATTTTTTGCTTCCTTATTTCTGGGAACACTTTTGCATTTGACAATTTGCTGCCGACCACTTTCTAGACCCAATTCAATTTAAGTTTTGATTCGTTACAACTCAAAGCTCTACAAGTCCCAACAGTATATGTGAGGAGTGAAGACTAAGACTTATTGTATGATAAAATCAGAATTTCATTTAAATTAGTATTTATATTCAATACTAATTTAAAACCAGACTCATTTACGGATATTAATTGACTTTTTATATATAAAAATAGATAAATATTACGTAAGGAAATATTGAACAGCTTGGGAGGCAGATAAGTTTTGGCATCTTTACTTTAACTTTCATTGGATAATGATGAAATCGATGTCATGTTGATATTAATATGGGATTAATAAAAATGAATTAATCAAAAAAATATATATAAATTTAAGTAAAAAATTTAAATTAATATATATATTTTATTTGGAGGGATGCATATGTCCATTAATGATATCGACATGAATGAGACAAGGCAACTACTAACTCAAACCTTGAGTTAACGGTTAGTCCTCCTTTACTACGTATCTTTACACTTACGTATTGACTACTCAAATATGGTAAACGGCTTAAACCTCTAATTCCAAATTCTACCATTAACAAACACTTAAATACTTATTTTACAGTCGGATATATCAGCATATATATGATGTTAATATTCAAATTCAATAATTTAAAAGCATCTTGTTCCTTCGTGGTTGCTCGCTCCCAACACAGCCAAAGACTTGTAAGCAGGGACTTGCCGGATTTGGTCAACACGCACCAAACTTCTTATATTATAACAAGGACATATCACTTTTTCTTTTCCCTTCTCAAACATAAGTGTATATAACAATTGACTTCAATATATAATTTATTACGTTAAAAAAAAAAAATATGTTAAGATAGTGGACTCAGTCAGAATTAAGTTTCTATTTGAACATCTTGGAAGGCAATATAGTTTTGGCATCCTTAACTTTCATTGCTCAAGAAATTGTATACCAATGTCGTCTCACCCTTCTTTGAGTACTGGGAGGAGCTGGTTTAAATATTTCCGGTATGAAGAAGGCAGGGACTCGCCAAGTGATGCCCGGAATGTGCTCCTGATTGTTGTCACTCTGATTGCTGCAGTGACTTTTCAAGCAGGAGTCAACCCTCCTGGTGGTGTTTGGCAAGATGATAATAATGGACATGTTGCCGGCAGGGCTATTTATGCTGCTCAAAAGGAAGCCTACTATGTTTTCTTGATTTCTAACACCGTTGCTCTTTCTACATCCATACTTGTTATTGTTTCGCTCACATATAGGTTTCCTTTTCATTTCGAGATATGTGTTGCCACTGGTGCAATGATAGTAACTTATGGATCTGCTCTTTTTGCTGTTACGCCTAATGAATCTGTCAGATTTCGATACATCTTGCTTGCGGCTGCCGTGCCTTTCGTAGTTCGGTGTTTGATCCAGATGTATAACAAGTATACAAGTAACAAGATATCCAATGGTATTCAGGATGAGCTTCAACGTTCTTAGCCAATTATGTTTATATTCAGGATGAAAATCAATATCCTCAGCCAATTTGTTTATGTAATCTGACATGAAAGTCTGTGTATCAGATAATTAAAGTATTATATGTTGTGATTGCTGAATTAAGTTGTTCCTTCTAATTGTTGATGAACATTTAACATTAGTCCAATTTTGAATACAGAAGATTTCTTTTGTCCAGATATGAAGAGGGATTATTGATTAGGTATACACGTTTTGGCACAAAGAATTTCCAAATACGCAATGGACCTGTAATCAACTTATTTAACAGTCAAACAAAAGAAAGTCCGACACAGGTTAGGAAGGCAGCTCGAACTAGGGGATAAACGGAACCCTTAGCCCAGACTAAACTAGGGGCATATTGACCCAAATGAATTCGGGCTTTCTAGATTGGAGAGTAACCCTTGTGCACAAACAGCAACAAGAGGTTCATCCTCAGCCTAAATTTGAGGTTCCTTAATGTCATGCTCCAACATATTGTTGCTGTGCGACTGTGCAGCACTTAAATACTTGATATACAGCAGTTAAATAAGACTTGAAACGGCAGACTGTGAGTGTGTATAGCCATCAAAAATCGAAATGTTTGACAGAATACTATTTAGGCAGCAACAGAACTTTCAACTTATGAGCCCTTCCCTCACCAAAAATTGAGCATTCCAACAATCGTAGCTGCCTCCTCATCTTGGTTGCAGCTGCCGACTGTTACTGCGTAATAACATCAATAATGTCTAACCCTTATTCATTATTAGATTGTCAGTTACATTTAAAGATAGCACATTCATTTCTCAAGTAACCTGCTCGGATATCAGTAGTTGTCGTTCGGCGCCGCTAGATGTTAAAATATTTTTGACCCGTGACACTAACCCAGTTTATGTCCACCAGTTGCAGTTGCCTAAGTTAAGCACATTAACTTTTGGTAATTCTGACAAAAGAGGAGAAATTTTGTTTCTTTTTATTCTCAAATTGGTATATATGAATATGGTCATACTAGTGACTTCATAAATAAAACTTTAAATGAAAGCAAAACCAAAATTAAATAAAATGGCATAACCAGAAGTGTTTTGTGTGTTCTAAATGCTGCAAAGTGCCTGGATGATAGGATTAAATTTTAAATAAGGCAATTATAAGACTGTTGGAACTGGAACTCCTAGCCATTTTTTTCCATATCACAAGTTGGGGTAAGTGGTAGCATGCTATCTTTCCCTTTCTGTCTTTCAACAGTCTAAACTTCCTATCTGTAATTGCACATGTTCCATGTCCCCTTTTGAAGAATCAGTACAACTGTCAAAAGGAACAAATTGTTAAATATTCACAACAAAATACTAATCCCTGTACATTGTTCTTTTGTCACCACCCATTTTCTTTCCCTATTTGCCACTTCTGATTTCTCAAACTTTTAGTGGCTCTTCAAAAAGTTCAGAGAATCCTAACGCGGATAAGATCAAGTATCACTTAAGGCCAGAAGGAAAAAAAAAAAAGAGTATCAAGCAATAAAATTAAGGAACTAATTACATAATAGACTTCGATTGCCAGACTGTAAAGAAGAATCTTCCATCTGTACATACCAAATCATTTGAAATCCAAAACCCAGAAAAAGTAAACAAATACAAGACATAGAGACTAGTTTATAAATGAGAAAGAGTAAACAGAGTCTCTATATCTCTACATGCATCTAACTACACTTTTAACAGTTTACAACAAAGCTTAAACAGCTAGTTGCAGCTGTTGGTGTGAGGTTTCATCTTCATTGAAACACAAGTGGAGTTTTAGAAATCTTCCAATGTTTAAAGATGATTCTGCTATATTTAGAGATGGTTGAGGTTGTTGCATCATCTCTCTCCGAAGATTTGAACAGTAACTGTAAAATTGTAACAAAAGAAGAAAAAGACTGAAAAAAAAAAACAAAAGTTGGCCGGATTCTCACCCAGCTAGGTGCGATTCTTTATAACATGTCAAGTGTAACCCTAGATGTGTATTTCTGTCGATAACTTATGATTCAAAATATTGTATATTTATAACTAAAAATTGTCGGAAAAAAAATAGGCAAGTACTCCCCATATTACAACATCGCATTTTCAGATTTTTCTCCTCAATAAATTTTTACAATTTTAATCAAGCTTCAAACACATGTTTTCAACTCAAAATTCTACATCACCTTCAAATTTCTAAATCCCCAGGTCCAACAGTATATGTGAGGAGTGAAGACTTAGACTTATTCTTTGATGAAACTCTACATTAAAATCAGAATTTCATTTAACCACTCAACAATAGTCAGCCAATGGCTAAAACCTCTGGTTCCAAGTTGTACGATTAATAATAGTAAACTTTATNGTAAACGAGTGTCGAATCCCAAGAGAACTACCTACCAAGTACCAAACTAGTCTATTTTGTTGCTATTTGATGAAACATAATTTTAAGAATGAATTAATGAAAAAGAAAACAAACTAAAAACAAATCAAAAGCAGAATTTTATTAATACTTTAGTAAACAGATCAATATGACTAAACCTAGGGCACATATTTCACACCAATTTAATCTTATGCATTGACAATTATTGCTAACCTAATTAAGCTTATTCTAAAGGCCAAACTCCTTGATATTCCATTAACTTTCTCTCGACCAATTAGCGAATTAAAACTTAAGCAACAACCCAAAATATTTCTAAGTTGGATTTAGGAGCTAAGAGATTATTAAGTTCTATGAAATTTACCAAAGCCTCATAGATCGCGGTAACCTATCTCTAGCGTTCGCTCAATCTATGGTTTTATTACCTTAGACAAATCAGGTTTCATCTCTCGATCTCAACCCAACTCATGACATCATTCAACTCTCGGATCCTTAAGAATTGAAAGCATTACACACAATAATAAAACTTAGAATTAATGTTCAATAAGAATTAACAACAACAAAGTCAACACATATTCATAAATTAGGCTACATCTTTAGCCCTAGAAATGAGATTTAGTTCATAATTGCAGTAATAAAAACAAACATTGTATTCAATAACATGAGTTCAAGAAAGAAAAATAGAAAAACTTCTCTAATTGGCAAACGAGAACTACAAGAATTCCAATCTCCAAAAATAGTAGTTGTCCTCTCTCCTTCTCTTCTCCCCCCTAAAACTGATTAAAGACTCTTATTTATAGTGCTAGAGTTTGGAGGTTACTTAGGAAAGAATTAAATGCCTTCAACCATTCAGATTCAGACTAGGAGAATGTAATAGCCCAAACAGGCTCGTGACCCATCGCTGTGACGAGCGTTCTTTCTGTCCCACGAGTCCGTGATATTCAGAATTTGGTAAATTCATCAAACTTTATATCTCTCTGATAAGCTTTCCAACACCACAAAAATTGTCGAATTCTGATTTCTACAGCTTAAGTTATGATCGAAACATCGAAGCATTACGTTGTATCTTTGACGTGTCACAACTTTCTCGTTTCAACTCCAATTCTTGCACCGTTTGTTCCTACTTGTCACGAATTCTATCGACATCATTCTTTTTCCTTCAAATATTCGTTTGAATATGAAAATACTCAAAATACACCCGTGATCCCGTAAAAGGTATTTATGAAATAATTAATTAAAATTTCATAATTTAAACACATTTTTCCATAAATAATCCAATTAAATCACGTACAAAATATATACTTTCAAGCTTTTATCACAACCCCCAACCAGGTTTTTGCTAGTCTCTAGCAAACTAAGCGATAAAATAAGTCTCTAAGCTTAAAAATAAAACAACCAATTAAATCCTATATCTAAACTATCTTAAATCACTTTCGTAGATTGACACGATTGTATTTAGCATATGCAACAAACCTTTAAACCCTTAGGCGGTCCTAGTTGGACGAGTTGTAGTCTTGTGAGGGTTTCCAGCGATGATACCCTCAAACATCCACACTAAACTTAACCTAAACTCCAAAAATACAAATACACATAAAAAGAACAAAAACTAACAAAAATTCTTGGATCAATTCATAAAGGTGTCTCAAAAATAGCATATACACAAAACAAATAGAATAATTAAGAATCGCCTAAACTCACAAACAATGCAAACGTCAATTCCATTTTCGTTATCAACCCTAAAACATCCATACAACCATAAACCATTAGTCTACAAACCCGGATGGTTTTATGTATAACATTCATGAATACAATTTTGATCTTAGTATTCGGGTTATGACTTATATGTGAACCATGGAATCAAACTCCATGGGCTCACTTTTCAAACCACTCTCCACTAATGTAGAATTTCACATTACTTTGGATCAATAGGTCTTTGTAAAGGTTGTAACATTAGACTAGGGTATGAGTTCATGAAGGAACGAACTGGGAAATTAACAAAAATCAAATTAAGAGACTTAATTTTCATTCATTCTTATTACTATCATACAAAAACACTTCCCTTTTTCACTCAATAGCTTCCCAACCTTTATCGAGCTCTTTCTTTTTGATAGTAATATAAACCCATTTGCATAATATCAAATCTTCACAATGCTTTTCAATGCCCACTTTTCTTTTCTTTCTGTTTTTTTTTTATTATTTTTTTTTCAGATTTTTTTCTTCATTTTTTTACAACAATAATAAAAAGAAAGTAGAAAACACACACACAGCCCCACAGATCTTACAAGCACTCCACAACCCCCAATCAATTTCTTCACATAAACCTGGGTTGTGGCAAAACTACACTTCCTCACTAATACTCATACTAAGCTTGAATAACAATTAAGTCTCTTAAGGATAAAATGGGTAGGATTGTGTTTTAGGCTCATAATCAGGGTAGGGTAAAAATTAAGTTCAAAGAAAGAAAAACAAGGCTGAATTGTGTTTAAAAGGCTCAAAGGGTTAACTAGTGATAATAATAAAAAAGTCAGCTTGAAAGACTCAATCAGTCCAAAAACAGCCTAAATCATTTCCTAAGTGATGTGAATTCTAGGATTTCGCTTGAGTGGTTCTCAAATGAGTTCTAGAGTTTGTTGAGATCACAAAAATGTTCATGGAAAATTCACACATAAAACGTCTCTAAGTAGGTAAACTTAACCACTTCCAATCCACAAATCGCTAGGGTCTCAAACTAAATATCATTAACATTTACAATCATTCGTAATTAAAGGCAAAAATTAATGTCCTCCATTT